GAGGCCGCGTCCCACATACAGCAACTAGAAGGATGTGCAGCTATGACACACAACTATCTACTGGGGCTTTGGGGGGAAAAAATAAATAAATAAAATCTTCAAAAATAAAAGAGAGAACATACTCAAGCTTCCATGAAGCTGTATGATAAGGTGAATAACAGGAACAAAAATAAATCAGAGAGCTGAGAAATACGCTGCAAAGTTTCTCAAATAGTATTCTTGCTTGTATCTAGCTCCATTATACAGTTTAAAATTTGGCCAAATCTTTTAAGTATTTGTTAAACAGTTCTTGCATGTGACATATGTTTCCAGGATACTTCTGACATTGATATGAGAGATTATAAAACATTTAGAAATGAAAATGTTACTCTCCAACAAAAAACAACACTATAACTTCCAAGCTTCTTCTGAATTTATAAGATGGAAAAACATTTGGAAAATAGTAGCTTTCAGTCTTAAAATGTTCAAATAATATACTTTAAAACAAACACAAAAAGTATCATTGTTCAAGGCAAGGAGGAGACAAGCCCAAATAAAAGAAGATCTTAAAATTTACTCTAGGAGTCATTACTTTTCCTTTGCAGTCTCAACCCTATTTACTCCGTAAGAAGTAAATTGTTTCATCCCTTCAGCTGGGAAGGATAATTTTTACCCTACCAAGATGATAACAGTACCACTGCACTGCTCACCCAGCAAGAAATGCATGAATATGAAGTAGCATCAACTCTTTCTATCAAACAAAGTGTATACAAGAATTGATTTGCAATGCATTAATTTAGGAACTCGGCAGAGAGGCTCCTGCTATATCTAGCTGATCTAAACTTGAGCTCATGATAACACTGCACAAAGCTATGGTAGATGAAAGTGATAGGTAATGCCAATAGAACAATTCCACTGACAACACACACTCCTCCAAGAATTCTTCCAGGCACTGTGATAGGATACATATCTCCATAGCCAACTGTAGTCATAGAGATAATCACCCACCAGCAGGCAGCAGGGATGCTGGCGAAGTCCTTGTTGGATGTTTCCAGGTCCAACCCATGTTCAAGAAGCTGAGAAAGTGCACTAAAGATTGCCATGGCAACACAAATGAAGACAAGTAACATAACCATCTCTCGGTAACAACGTTTGAGAGTCAAACCAAGTGTCTGAAGACCAATGAAGTGACGGGCAAGCTTAATCACCCAAAAAATCCTCATCATTCTAAGCACCCTCAAGGTGACTCCAGCCCTCTGGAGTTGAGAGTTCTCGCCTGTAAACACTGTCATTAACACGGAGATGTAATAAGGCGTGATTGCCAGTAAATCAATGATGTTCAGGGGTCTCTTGACAAACTCACACTTGTTTTTGGAGACGATGAACCTCACGATGCACTCTGCAGTGAACCAACCTATGCAGATAGCTTCAATTATCCTGTCAAGAGAACAAAGGAAGAATTGATCATTTTATTTTTAAGCATTTTAATAGCTCTCAGATTTCTTCAGATAGTACTACACTGACATACTAATTCAGTTACTTTTTCCAGAAAACATAAAGAACAGACAGCATTACCAACATCTCAGACCCACAAGGACACAACAGAACGACAAATATCACAGTTCAAATGAAAATTGAACTTGATAGAGGTCTTATTTATATACTGCATGTAACACCATTAAAATTTTTTTGCTTGTCACTAATACTCAAAAAGAAAAAATCTATCACTTATTTGGTGGTTTGACATTAACTTATACTCAGCCAGCCACAATATGAAATGTTACTCTGTGAGGACAGTGGTTCTCAACTGTGATGTCAGTTATGAGGTGGGTCAGAAGGACTTTGTTCCTACAGAGTGGACATACTCAAGTTTTTGATGATTTATTTCTTAGTTAATAAGAGAGAACTTAAGATCATTTCCTAAAATGTGACTCGGACTTCTTTTCCTGTGGGCTTGTGCGGGAGACGCTGAAGCTGAGCCAGCTTTTTGGGCTCTGCAGGCATGCCAGTGCCCTCACCAGAGGAGCGCCAGCCAGGTCATGACCATCCTCACCACGAGTGTCACAGTGAAAAAAAGGCTGAGGACATCTGCACTGGAGCAAAACAATCACTAGAATTTTCCCAAAGACCCAACTCGTTTGTTTTTTTCCCATAGCTATTTTTATGCAACAGATATTTTTAAAACACAAGGCCACATTTCACCTAGAGCAGTATTTACCAACCTTTCCACATCACTACACACATTGAAAATAACAATATTTACACAGTATATTGGCATCAGGGGTGGTATTCTTGAAGTGGAAGCCACCAGCCTGGGGGCTCTGATCACCCTGGCCCTTGCCTGCACTTCCCAAGGCTGAGGAAATTCAATCTCAGCACACCAGTTAGGAAGCTTTGATCCAGAGTGAGAGGTAATTCTGAGGTAATTTTTAATTAAATTACATTTTTAAGTTCAAATTAAAAGTTGTAATTATTACACTATCATTCACTTTTCTCCACATAATTCTTTCCCCTCACTGACCTAGACCCAAACCTCAGCAAGTACCACAGAGAGAGAAGAAACTGGAGTAGGTGGGATGGTAACGTCCACGGGGCAACATTTTGAAAAGAATTACTCAAAGTGTGTTCCACGGAACACAAGTTGCCCTGGATGTTACTCAGGGAAATGAATAAATAAAAATAACCATGTTCCCCTACTGTAGAGTTTGCAGGGCTATAAAGATTAATTTTATTTATTTTTTGAATAGGTAGAACATTCACAGGGTTCAAATTTAAAAGCTGAAAAAAAAAAAGTATAGATAGAAAATTCTCACCCCATTCCCCAGCCACCCAGTTTCCCAGTCTTCACTCCAGTCACCAACTCCTCAGGGCACTGGTTATAAGGGCAATAGCCACTGACTACCCAGAAACTAGGAACCTAAGTATATTTCTTTCAAGTGGCTGCTATCAAATATTACCACAACCCTGATGGATTAAAAGCATAGAAATTTATTTTCTCACAGTTCCAGAGGCCAAAAGTGCGAAACCAGTATCACTGGGCCAAAATCAAGTGTCAGGAGGGCCACACTCCCTTCGGAGGCTCTAGGGGAGAATCCACTCCTTGCCTCTTCCAGCTTCTGGTGGCTGTCGGCATTCCTTGGCTTGTAGCTGTATCACTACAATCTCTGTCTCCGAGGTCCCACTGCCTCCTCCTCTTCTGTCACTGTGTCAAGTCTCCCTTTGCTTCTTTTTTATGAGGGTACATATGATGGCATTTAGGGCCCACTGGGATAATCCAGAAGAATCCCCTCATCTCAAGATCCTTAATTTAATCATACCTGCAAAACCCCTTTTGCCATATAAGGTAACATCCACTGGTTCCAGGGATTAGGACTTGATATCTTTGAGGGGAAAGTGAGAGTTTTTTCAGCCCACCACACAAAGTCAGCAGATGAAGTCACAGCTACCCCCACTATTTCTCTACTGTATCACCTGCTGCTCTGCTCATGGACCCCATCACCCTGTGGTTGGCAGCAGCTTCCCTGTCCCCACCAGGTGATCAGTAAAAGCTGCCGCCATGATGGCCTCCACAAACCTGGAGGCTTAGAAAACCAGGAGGGTAATGGAACTTGGTAGCTCTAGAGAAGACGAAGCTGCATTTTTTCAATATAGTTTTAACAATACCACGTATCACTTCTCCCTGGTAATGCTCATCAAATATTCTATATGCTCCCCTGTATTTCCAGCCTGTTAGGCAGAGTCAGACCAGTTCTGACCAATGAGCTATGAGCAAAATGACTCTGTCACTTCTGGGCAGAAGCACAGAAGAGTGAGTGCTAATTCTCTTCCTGCCATGGCAACCTGGAAGGCCTGCGTCCTCAATGGCTACAAGACGGTGGGCCCCTATCAGCCTAAGACCCTGAGTGTCTGTGCAGAGAAGAACAGACATTCCCCACCCCGACTCCAATTGGACATGATAGGTGAGCAACAAATACATCTTTGTTGTGTTATGCCACTGAGATTTCTAAACTGGTTGCTGTCCTAGGTAATAAACTGGTAAATGAAGTAAATAGTAAGATGCGCATTCAAAGGGACTGCAGAAGCACACAGCAGTAATAGTAATAGTTTTCTTAGATTGGCTGTGTTGAAATGTATGAGTTCTCCAGACGAAAGTACTATGTCTCTTCTCTAGCCAGACATGAGCAAGAGCACCGGACCTCGTGCCAGAAGGCCTGCTGCTGTACCCACTCTGAAGGATGACCTCACCTATCAAGCGGCAGAGTTGCATTGGTCTTCCAAGGGCTCTCCCAGTAATAAAATCCTAAGATTCTATTAAATTAAGAAGAGTAGAAATTTTAATTGTGCCAAAAACACCAGAACATTTTCTGTCTAATCATTTCCACCAGCAGCCAACGTTGTTCAGATTAAAAAGGAGGAAATCCAAATGGTGTGGAATAATCTCTCAGTAAGGGAGTTTCAAAGAGGAGACTCCTCTGTAATGAGGCCCTCTGGGCCCTTCCTGCCTACCCCCCTAGTAGATGCAATTTATCCAGACTTCCACGCTAAAGGGATGAATCAGTGAGAATCCCCAGGCATCCCTCTTTCACCCAGGATTATGCCAAGGCAATCTCCAACAACAAACACCGCTCAGCCTGCCAAAACTCCCCATGTTTCCAAATGGCACTCTTGCCAACACCACCACCAACAACTGCTGAAAAACTGAGCACTGTTTTACTGAGCACTACAGCCAACAACTGGGTACCCCCGAAGGTTACTTTTATAAAAAACAAATAGGAAAAAAGAACTAAAGAAGATACTGAGGGACACCATATTCCTTAAGCCCATTCTGATTTCTTTTGAGGCCCAAACATGTAGAAGTTCACGGACTCGTGGTGGATAAAAATATTTACCACTTATTGAGGCCTTTCAGTTGGGCACTGTGCTAAGCACTTTACAGACATCATCTCATTCCATCCTTTTCAAGAACTCTATAAAGCGTGTATTTCCCCTAGTATCTCCATTTTACAGATGACAAAACTGAGGCTGAAAAGTTAAACATCTTTTCCAAGGTCACAAAATTAAGAAATTGCAGTGGCATCACATAATGAAACCCAGACCTACGGGGCTTTGAGCTCTAACAAACATTTGAAAATAGTAATGATTTTTATGACAATGTTCACTGTTAATATTAAATGATATATATCAATCTCTTGGTCTCCATAGTTTGTGTTAGAGCAGCATTTTTCAAACTGTTGGTTCTTAACCCATTAATGGATCAAAACAGACATTTTTCCAGAAATTGAATAGAAAATGTCAGAGTGCATCAAAGTATAGTTTCATGAAACTTCTGTTTCAGTTACATATAATTGTACACTAAGTTATGATGTAAAGTGTAGTATTCCTTTCTGTAGGTACTGCAGGACCTCAACCATTGCTGGCAAGCAGTAATTCGAATTACTCTGACTGACCCCTCGTGATGGAAGGCACATCTGGGAACGACTCAGAGGTTTACAAATAGGTTCCAAAGGGGAGCAAATGCTTTTAGGGCTAACCAGTTCTTCCCTTACGCCCTCCCACCCCGCTAAAAAGACTAGGACAGGACAGAGGCCATTAACCACGCTGTGTGAGGTAAAGATCAGTCTCCCTCTGGGTGCCACCTTCTCATCTTTTTCCGTCAACATTTTATTATAAAAAATTTCAAAGATGGAGCAAATTCATTAATATTTTAAATGTTCTTGCTCATCACCTATTCACTCCTCTATCCATCTATTAATCTATCCTTTTTTTTTTTGGATGCATTTTAAAGTAAATTGCAGATGTCAATGCACTTCCCTCTAAAAACTTCAGAGTGCGTATCGTTAACTGGAGTTCAATATTTGTTTCATTTTTTTTCTTTTGATGCAAACGTTACATGCAATGAAATGTACAAACCTGAAGTGTACATTCATTGAGTTTTGACAAATGCATAACCTCTATACCTATCAAGGTATAGAGCATTCACATTACCCCAGAGACTTCCCTGCCTTACTCATCTTTGTATCTCTTGCCCTCACTTCCTGAATCCATCAGACACTTAGCAAGTGCTCAAAGATGTTTGTCCAGCACAATGTAAGTGACTTTGATAGAACTCAAAGGCCTGGGACAGCCACTCCAGAAGCCACAAGAAGCCTGTTGGTTCTTCTGGGACCCTTAAGGGGTAAATGGAAGCCTGCCTCAAAAATGATGCTGAATTCAGTTGGACCCTTATCTTATACCATATACTAGAGTTAAGTCAAAATGGATTAAAGACCTAAATGTAAGACTTAAAACTATAAAACTCCTAGAAGGAAACGTAGGGGAAAAGTTTCATGACGTTAGACTTGGCAATGATTTCTTGGATATAACACCAAAAACACAGACTACAAAAGCAAAAATAGATAAATGGAACTACATCAAACTTAAAAACTTTTGTGCATCAA